GGAGATTGAGGCTGGCCTCGCGAAACACATCGAGGACCCCACGGATATGACAGCCACCCGCTTGATGACACTACTTCGCGGCCACGACAGCATCACGGCGGTCAATGTGGAGATTGCGGCAGCAATGCTCCAAACAACCCTCGACAAGGGACTAGACATCCTACTAGACCTGTGCCCTCAGAAACCGCCATGTACGGGCAAAATACACACCAAACGAACAGTCAGCAGAGGACTAAAAAAGCTACACAGAGAACACACCCGGCTCAAGCATGACTATGAAATGGAACTACGGATGCAGGCCGTCCCCGGATGTCAACAGCCAGTTTGCACGGACAGCTCAACAAGCCCTAACGGGCTGGCTTCGAATGACAACCACGCACCCCCTGAAGGTGCCGGGGGCTTGCTGAAGCAACTACGGGACACGATTCGGCGGGTCAGTAGCCAAATACGGCAGGCACTAACAACAGAACGCCGGAAAAGCATAACCGCAGCGCGCCGCCGAACCCAGCATCTGATCGCCACACGCCCTCGACGGGCCCACCAAGGCATCTTCAGCAAGGATGAACTCGAACGCGGCCTACCTGCGGTGAAACACCCGGTCTCCGGTAAAATATGCACGGAACCCGAATCTATCCTTGAAGCAGTCCACCAGTACTTCCAGACGCAGGCCGCCCCCATTGGCCCCCCGAAGACTGGACGGTACCGACCCGAGGAAACCCCTCGATCGTACCCATTTCTGCAGAGTGCCGCCCCAGACACGTTCTCCCTTACCAGCCCGAAACAGGCCGCGGACCACGTCCTGCTTAGCAGCGTCGCTGACCCTTTTAACTTTAACAAGTGTGTCCAACACCTGGCCCGCAATAAAACACCGGGGCCCGATGGGATACCTAACGAGCTACTGAGAGCATTGCCCACTGCCTTACAGTCCACCATCCACGACCTCCTGAAAGTCATGTGGGCCCAGGCCCGCACGCCAAAGCAATGGACTGAATCCGTTACGGTCCTTCTACCAAAAGCAGGAGATGCGCTCCTCCTGAACAACAAGCGACCCATTGCCCTCGCCAACACTCTTTATAAGTTATGGACTAGCCTCGTCACAGTGTCCATCGGGGACGTCGCTCCCGAACTCGCGTTGTTTAGCGAGGCGCAAGAAGGGTTCCTCCGGTACAGAAACACGGAACGGCAAATCCAAAACCTGCTCCACGTCATTGAGGATGCTGGGCTCACACGCAAAGATCTCTACCTGCTATACGTCGACTTCTCCTCGGCATTCAACACCATCAACCACGACCTGCTGCTACAGATCATGTACGACCTAGGGCTACCCGAGGACCTCATCTATGTCGTACGGGACCTGTACAGCCAAGCGCGGACCACTATACGGACAGAACACGGCCACACAGCGCCAATAATGATCGAACGAGGCACAGTACAGGGGGACACGCTCTCGCCGGTGCTATTCATTATTTTCCTCGAACCACTCCTCCGATGGCTCCACGCTGGCGGACGAGGGTACAAATACGGCTGCCTCCCCGACAGCTTGAACGCCAGGTACCATGGAAGCTCAGCTGCCTACGACCTCGCCGTGATGACCAACAGCACACAAGACCTACAAATACAATGCGACAAGATCAGCTTGTACTCGAAATGGGCGGGCCTACACGTGAATCACAAAAAATGCGCAGTGACAGGCATCCTGCACCACAGGGCATGGGCCGACCGAGGCCTGAACGGACCCACGTGTGCACGCACCCTCAAGGCAGCCTTGGATGAAAAAATCAAAATCAGCGACCAGTCAGTGCCGTACCTACCCCCCACGGAACCCTACAAGTACCTTGGGGTCCACGTAACACTGACCCTCAACTGGAGCGCACAGATGTCCCACGTCTGTAAGGCGGTGAGGGACAAGGGCGACCTACTTCAGGGATCCCTAGCATCGCCGGACCAATGTATCAGAATCATACAGACTTGTATACAAGCGGTAGTGTCATACAGCTTCTCCACCATGGCATACACTCCTAATGATATCAGACTTTTGGATGCGATGATCGCACGAGCAGCCCGACGCTGCTACCGCTTGCCCACCAGTTTTCCCACACGCGCCGTGCTGCTACCGGTGGAACAATATGGACTCGGCGTTGGGTCCCTACTACCGATCTATGTGCGCATGGCAGCTCGCGCGCTGGTCCTCTCCCTGAATGACGAAGGCCGGCTAGGCGTCGTGACACGAGCCATGCTTGAGCTGCAGTGTCGCCTGGCGGCCGACACTAGGATGCACACGTTGAAACGAGAGAGCAGTTTCTACACGACCCTGAAACAGCTGACCCTGGCGCGAGACCATGGCATCGCGGTCACCGACAAAGGGATGCCGTATAACACATCCCTAAACACTCTCATGACGGCCGCCTC